TGGCAGGCCCAGGGCGGCCAGGCCAGGGAGAGTCTGCTCCCTCCGGGCATGGCTGGCCCAGGGCTGGGCCGGGGACAGGGACAGGGACAGGGACAGGTTAATGCTGTGAGCTCGGAGGCTGAGTCTCCGCGTTCCTGGGGACAGCACGCTCCGACCCCAGCTGGTCCCCGGTCCCCACTCCTGCCTCGGGGTCGCCCTCGTAGCAGGTCTGTGCCGTCCTCGCCCGGGGGCGGCTGCAGTGTAGCTGGCCCGCGCCCCAGCCCTGCATGCTGGCTCCTTCTTTCCTCTCGCCGCCAACTTGTCTTTGGTGGTGAGAGCTCTAGGGTTTTGTTGGTTTTAGTTTTGAGTGAGGAAGGCACTACACCAAGAGGCCATTCCTTCCCTTACGCCTGCCCTCGGACTCCTGGGTCACTCTAAAACGATGGTTCTCGGCCCCGCCCCGGCCCCGGCTCTGTCCCCGCTGGTCAGGCAGCTCCCTCCTCAGCGCCAAGAGTCTGCTCCCTTCCCTCACTCACAGCGGAGGCCGAGCTCGCCTGGGCCGCAGCCTGGGGCATGTCCACTCGGACCCGGCTCCTTCCTGGAAACCAGGGCCTGTACGTAGCTGAGCCGAGAGCCGGTGCTGCCGGGAGGGGGCTGGCAGACCACCCTCACGAAGGGATTCACAGGCCTGAGGGCCGGCCTCCAGGAAAGCCATTGTTCTCACCTGGCACTCGGCGTGTGGTGGGTGCTGCTGAGCGCTGCCTGCTCGGCTGGCACTGAGGTGGGTGGTGTGTGGCCCCTGCGCAAACAGACGTGGACGCTAGGGGCATGGCCTGGGCACAGCACTGGAAACTGGCAGGAGGGGTGCGGAGTCGGCCAGCCTCCCTCCAAGGCCTGGTTCGTGACCCTGATGTTAGACCACCAGGGCCTCACCCGAGAGCAGCCGTCTAGCGGTCGCCAACCCAGGGTCCGCGCACCACCAGCCCCGTGAGGTCCGAAAGGCCAGCGACCGCTGCCCTGGCGCACAGCTCGGACGTTTTTGTGAGATTAAAAACAAGCTCCTGCATTTACTAGTCAGAACTGCTGGCCAGGCACCTGGGGAGGGGTGTGTGTGTGTGATTTTGTGTTTATAGTTTTCAAAAATTGAATCAGTAAGCTTGTGTCTCCCCCTATAGGAAGAGGGAAAGACCACAGTCGGTTGCCAGCATTTTGGTAACATCTGTTCCAGGATAAAACATCTAACTCTCCTCAGTCCCATGTATTCACTAAGTAAGACACATTTTTCAAAATCATTGATTTGTGTTTACCAGTTCCTTTGGTTATCACTGATTTTTAAAAAATTTAGACGATGATTCTTTTACTTCAGTGTTTTTGAACAAAGATGACAAGCAATTTGTTTTATAAATTTGCTTCTTCATTTGAAATAAAGGGTCTTCAGCTAATGTTCCAGGTGTACGTCTGTATAATGTCTTGTTTTACTAAAGGACAGGGCACTGAGAGTGCTTTTTTAGAAGGTGAATTCCTGGTGACAAACGCGGAGTCTGGCCGGGCCCGCGTGTCTGTGTGGAGTGATGGGCGGTGACAGCCGCGCTGCTGATCCCGCTGGAGGACCACGGGCTGTGGTGGGGGCGGGGGACCCGTGAGCCCGCGCCCGGGCTGCGTGGTGACCTCCTCGGGACCAGCCCCGGAACGGTCTGGAGTGTGGGTTCTCTGCCTCCGTGCCAAAGCGTGCTGTCCAGCCACCGTTCGTGGCCACGTGTAGCTGCAGGCGGGTCTCTGTCCTGACCGCTCCTGTGTGACCGACAGGTACGAGGTCCGCAGCGCCTGCGCGGATGGCTCCGAGTGCGTCACGCTCCCCGTCTACTTCCGGGAGAGGAAGTCCCGGCCGGCGAGCCCGTCCTCCGGGGCAGTGCTGTATGGGCAGCCGCTGCTGGTGTCCGTCCCCAAGCACACGCTGACCCTCGAGTCTCTGTACCAGGCTGTGTGCGAGCGGATCAGGTTGGTTTGTTCCCTGAGGTCAGTGCCGATGCGGCCATAGCGCTGACCCTCGCTGCAGGGCCCGTGGTGCCCCCGCCTGCCCGCTCCCATTAGAACAGCGGTGCCAGCCCCTGGGGGGCCGGGCAGGTGCCGGGAGGGGGGCTCCTCTTAAGCACCTCCGCAGCCTCCTGTCCCGGGAGGCGTGTCTCCCAGCTGTCAGTCACCGGCGTTAGGGAGTCCAGTGCTTTGGCTGCATTATTTATTTGAACCACGTTTTTGAAGAATCCCACTGCTGGTCTGAAGCAGTAGTTAAAGCCTGGGAGAGGCTTTGGACGGTGATGCTGGAAACACCGTCCTGAGTCTCAGGGACGTGGCAGCTGACACCTCGTCTCTGGGTTCCTCTCAGTCTCTTCCAGTGCTGAGCCATCACGTGATGTCAGAGCTTTTTATTAAACTGCCTTCGGGTCACTGTACACATTGTGAACTGCCTGTAGGTGAGGAGTGGGGACAGTACGTAAACGTTACCGCTGACAGTTTTTCTCTTCTCTTTCAAGCCGCTACATAAAACAGCCGCTGCCCGAGGAGGCAGGCGGCTCGCCCCTGGAGCCCGGGGCCTGCAATGGCTCCCGAGGCAGCTGTGAAGGTGAGCACTGCCCCGCTCCCAGAGGTCACACCGGGAGGAGGCGCTGGGAGGGGAGGCTCTGGCGGCCCCTGGAGGAGCCTCCTAGGCAGGCGGCGGGCTGCCGCTCAGACAGGCCAAGCCGAGCGGGCCTGTGGCTGAGTGGGGTTCAGTCCTAAGCGTGGGGAGTAGAGGGGGTGCTTCTTGCCTGGCTGGTGGGGCTCAGTTGGTCGAGAGTCACCTTCTGTACCAAGAAGTTGCCGGTTGGGTTCCGGGTCGGGGCACATACCCAGGTTGTGGGTGGATGCCCAGTAGGGGGCGTGCAGGAGGCAGCTGGCTGCTGCTTCTCTCTCTCCTCTCCATTCTTTCTAAAAATCAGTAGAAAGGTTTTTAGGAAACCTGGAGGAACACGGCGGGTGGACACTAGCACGTTTTGACGCGGACAGTGGCCCGTGGTACAGGAGCTTCCTTTGTGCAGGAGAGGACGAGGAGGAGATGGAGCACCTGGAGGAGGGCCGAGAGCAGCTCTCGGAGCCCGAGGGCGGCTGGGAGGATGAGCCGGGAGGCGACCAGGGGGAGACGGCCCAGAGGAAGAGCGCGGGCCGGCCCTGCCCCAAAAGGCTCTTCACCTTCAGCCTCGTGAACTCCTACGGGACGGCCGACATCAACGCCCTTGCGACCGACGGGAAGCTGCTGAAACTCAGCTGTAAGCGTGTCTGCCTCCGGCGGGCCGGACCGTCCGGGGAGGGCTTGCTCTCGGTACTTCCTGCTTTGGGCCCATGGCCTCCGTGTGTCTCCGGGAACACACACTTGTGCCCTCTTCTCTTGACGCTCCCCAAGGGCTGTCTAAGAGAAATGGAGGCCTGGTAGGTAGGTCAGTGGGTCCCACTGTGCCAGGGTTGTGGGTTCGATCCTCAGTCAGGGCTCATACGAATAATCAACCAATGAAGGCATAAGTAAGTAGAACAACAAATCAGTGTTTCTCTCTCACTCCCTCTCTGCTTCCTGTCTCGAAAATCAATCAATCGATAGTGAACAGAGAGACACCGTGCACAGAGGCGCACACGTTCACCCCCCCTCCTGCCAGCCTCTTCCCTCCGTCCTTGATGCTTCAGGAGCTCCCTCCCTCCCCGTCTCCCCCCGGGGGGCAGTCTTCTCCAGACTCGGCTCCCGGAGGCCAAGAATGGCTCCTGGAGGCCAAGAATGCATCTCCCTTGTTCCATAAGGTGCTCCTGAACGGGCCAGCGAGAGGGGGCGTGGGTTTTGCAGGCGGGGCTGCCCTCCGGACGGAAGAGGCGCCCTCCGATGGGCGTCGTGGGCGACAGGCGCAGGCCAGCGGGGCGCCGCACCGGCAGGAGGGCACTGTCCTCAGCCGCCTTCCCTGGAGCAGAGAGGAACTGACTCCGCAGCTCGCTGGCTTTTTCTTTGCTCCTCTTCTTTAAAAATTCTAAATAACAGATTTATTGAGATCTTCCTGAGCTCGCGCTCTCTGCAGCTCCCTCTTCCCCAGGCGGCTTTCTCCTTTTAGATGTTGTCTTGCAATTTCTAGCAATTTTCTGGAACTCCAGTCTGACTCCTCAGCGTAGTCTCCCCCCACACACACACCGGGGCCTGGAAACGCCTGCGGCGGGGCGGCCCCTGCAGCTCCTGTGCGTCCCTCAGGAGGCGTCGCAGGCGGCGGCGGGATCTGACTTGGTCAGCTTTTCTGCGGGTTAAGGCGGAGGGCAGTTCCAGCCCGTTTCTCCGTCCTTCCACATTCTGTGGTGGCAGCTGGAGCTTGTCTGTGCGCGGGGAGACCTGGGCCGAAGGACGGGCCCGGGAGGCGGCGGCTGAGGCAGAGCGTCGCTCGGGCTGGCGCTGGGCGGCCGTCCGGGGTGCAGCCTCAGGGTGACCTGAAGAGCCGCTCCTGGGGCTGCCCCTCCCTAACGGTGACCTTGGGTCCCCCACAGCTCGGTCCACCCTGGCCATCGACTGGGACCCCGAGACGCGGAGCCTGTATTACGATGAGCAGGAGTCCGAGGTAGGCGGCAGGGCCGGGCATCGGGGGCGGTCACCCACGGCAGCTTCGGTTTGGGGCTGAGTGACGGCACCAGAGGCTCGTGAGAGCCGCTGCCCGCGGCTGCCGGAGCCTCGTCTCCCCGCAGACCTCGCTCTGCCCCCGCAGGCCTTTGAGAAGCACGTGAGCATGCTGCAGCCGCAGAAGAAGAAGAAGACGGCCATGGCCCTGCGGGACTGCATCGAGCTCTTCACCACCATGGAGACGCTCGGGGAGCACGACCCCTGGTAGGCCCGCCCCGCCCCGCCCGACCCCCGACCCCCGCCCGCCGGCCAGCGGGTGCACGCGGCCCGACAGACCTGACAGACCTTTCCCCGGCGTCTGCTTTGCAGACGGAGCGCCCTCCCCGCTGGGAGGTGACTGAGCCGCGGCCGGAAGGACGGGCTGCGGCTGCGCTCGCTCCCCGCCCCCCCATGGCCGTTCTCCCTTCCCTCAGGTACTGTCCCAACTGCAAGAGGCACCAGCAGGCCACCAAGAAGTTTGACCTGTGGTCCTTGCCCAAGATCCTGGTCGTGCACCTCAAGCGTTTCTCCTACAGCCGGTACTGGAGGGACAAGCTGGACACGGTGGTGGAGTTCCCGGTCAGGTGGGTCCTGCTGCTGTCCCGGCAGCACTCGCCGGGAGGAAGCTGGCACCGATGGCAGCGGGTTCGCCACCACGGACGTGGCCGTGGGCTCTGGGAGTGAGGCTTTGGCTGGAGGGAGTCTGCGGGCGGAGGGGGTTGTTCGGGGGCTCCTGTCCCAGGCGAGGGGGCTGGCTGTCTCCTCCGGCCTCCGACCTCCGGCCCAGACCCCGAGTGACTGGCAGGCACTCAGGCAGCAGGATGGGTCTCCGCCACCAAGGGCAGAGTTAACATGCTGGGGGGAGACAAACGGGCGTGTCAGTGGAGGACCGAGGTGATGGGTACTGGATATTTGTTGGGAAATTCTTCACTTTTCTGTATGCTTGGAGTTCTCACAATGAAACATGGGGATGAAAGCTTGATGGAGCCTGTTCTGGTGCAGCGTGAACGTGGAGGCACCACGCGTGGCTGTGAGGTGTCCCGGCAGCCTGGGCGGTGGAGAGCCGTCCTCCCGCTGGTCTGGCCTTCCCAGGAGGCTTTCCTTTGCAGCCGGAGAGGTCAGCCGTCAGCCGGGACCAGGCCTGGCCTGTGCGTGTTCTGCCTCTGCAGCGCCTCCCTCTGGCCTGTCTGCTGCATAAAGGGGTTTCTCTAAATTAATAACGTAGTGACGGCTGTTCTTGTGTTTTGTGCTTAGAGGTCTGAACATGTCCGAGTTTGTCTGTGACCCGTCAGCAAGGCCTTATGTGTACGACCTCATTGCCGTGTCCAATCATTACGGAGCCATGGGGGTTGGCCACTGTGAGTACCCGCATCGTGCCCTCTGCCGCAGCTCTGCCCCTCCCCCCGCCAGCACCATGGGCCTCAGGCCTTTTCCGTTCGGTAGCCCCTTCATTTGTAACATTTTTTTTTTTAAAAATATTTTTAAAAATATATTTTATTGATTTTGCACAGAGAGGAAGGGAGAGAGATAGAGAGTCAGAAACATCGATGAGAGTCATCGATCAGCTGCCTCCTACACACCCCCCACTGGGGACATGACCGCAACCAAGGCACATGCCCTTGACCGGAATCGAACAGGGACCCCCCAGTCCCCAAGCCGACGCTCTATCCACTGAGCCAAACCAGTCTCGGCCATTTGTAACATTTCTTTTTGGTTTTCATATTCTTTTAAAAATATTTTTATTGATTTCAGAGAGGAAGGGAGAGGGGGAGAGAGAAACATCAATGATGAGATAGAATTATTGATGGGCTGCCTCCTGCACGCCCCACACCGGGGATGAAGCCCGCATCCTGAGCTTGTGCCCTGACCTGGCTTATAGGTCGGCGCTCAGCTGCTGAGCGAGTTTTCCTATTCTTTAATCCAGTAATCCCATCTCTGGGAATTTGTCCTAAGGAAATGGTATTAGGTTAGCTTTATGCACAAAGATATTCATCCATAAAAAACAACAACAAAATAATATGCTCATTAGACCGGACAAAGCCGGGGCTGCGAGGGGGGCGGTGCTGGCAGCAGGGGAGTCTCCAAGGCACTGTAACCACGAACAGTCAGTGACGGCGTGTGGTCAGGAGCTGGGACTGCTGTCCATCTGCCTGATGGCCGAGCTCTCGGCCATTGCACACGCAGCTGAGGGGGATGCAGTGAAAGCGAAAGCACAGAGCGGCGCCATCACAGGAGCAGGGTCACAGCTACTGAAACCAAAAGCGGGGAAACCGCTGGGGCTGGGAGGCCTCGGAGGACACACCAAAACGTGAATTCCTCTTCCTCCTCACTCTGCTGTTTTCCAAAATGTCTGTCATGCATGGGTTTGCCTTTTAGCGAAGAGAGCTTGCCCATCTTACCTGTTTCTGGAAAGTGGGCAACGGGGAGGGGAGGGGCTGTGCTCCCTCTCCCCCTCCCCTTTACCGCCACCACAGCGAGAGGGTGCCCCGGGGGGTCAGATGCGTCAGTCCGTCCCAGCTCTGCGCTCCTGGGAGCGGGTGGAGCAGGAGTTGGCATTGCTGCTGTAAACACATCCTGCTTAGAAACAGTACGAAATCAGGACAGGAAGTGCCGGCTGTGAGCTGCTGGTCACTGAGGAGCTGTTACAGCTGTCCAGAAAGATTAAGTCTGTCCACAGCCGAGCTCTGCCAACAGCCCAGGTGCCCAGTGCCCCTCCCAGGTCTGCCCACCGGCTCCAGAGGCAGGGGGCAGTAGACACCCTGAACATGGACGGGGTTCGCCATTTTTTAAAATTGTTTCCCCAAATCAGTGTAAAGTGCTGGTTCCTGACAGCTCCATTTCCTCCCCTTCAAGCCCTTTGGAGGTCTAATACGGGATGAGAGACTTTTGTTAAGACACAGCTGTAGGTTAGTCCTGGTGTCAGGCCTGTGTTGCATTTTGGAGTCTGCTTTGGTGCGAACCTGGGCCGGCCAGGCCGCAGTGCGGCGGCGGCTAGCGTGTTTCCCTTGGCTCGGCAGACACCGCGTACGCCAAGAACAAGCTCAATGGGAAGTGGTACTACTTCGACGACAGCAACGTGTCCCTGGCCTCCGAGGACCAGATCGTGGTGAGTCAGCCCGGCCACAGCCACCTCTAGGCTTTTCCTGTTTTTAACGACAGTCCCTCTGGGAATCTGTCCTGAGGAGGTGACATTGGGGAAGCTTTGTGCGTTTATAACAACGGAAAACCCGTGACAGTGTGATGGGAACAGCGAGACAGCTGGGTAGAACGGGTGGCTTTCCAGCCAGTGAGGACCTCTCCCCTCGTGTTTTAGACAAAAGCGGCTTACGTGCTGTTCTACCAACGCCGAGACGGGGAGTCCCACACGGCGCCTCCCCTCGCCGGCTTCGCCGGCTCCTCGGACGGCGGGCTGCACCCCAGCAGCTCCCAGCAGGGCCTGGGGGAGGAGGCGGCCTGCAGCATGGACACCAACTGACGCCACCGTGTGACCCCTGAAGACTACTAGTGTTTGGACTGAAAACCAGATGAGGAAATTCCCTTCTTTTATGAGCAGAAGAAAAAAAAAAAAGCCCGTTTCTTGAGAAGGGTTATGTCAAGAGGCTGAATTATTTTCCTTTTAAGAGGGTGGAGTGATTCCTATAGAACCGGGGGCGGGGGCGGGGCTGTGCGCGTGGACGGAACCGAGGCGGGAGGGCACAGCCTCATGGGGTTGGCAGAGGCTGCAGCGGCCATCCCTGCTCCCCCCCAGTCGCCTGCCCAGCAAACATCTCCCTCTTGGCGTTTCCCCGCCCAAGTGAAGGTTGTGGGGTCTCCCGCCCTCGTCTGCAGGGGCGCCTAGCAGTGCTGTCCTGTGGCCCGCACCCCTCCTCCCTGCACCCCCCCTCACTGCCACTCAGGTCAGCACAGATGCGGGACCTGCCCCTCCACCGGCCTCTGCTGGGAGTGGGGGGGTTGGAGAGCCCCAATCTTAGCGAGAAGCGAGACCCCTACCCCTGCGTCCTGGGCCCCCCGTGGGGCCCCTGCCCCCCGCCCCCCGCCGAGGCCCCTGCACGGCCCATCCCCCAACGCAGCCTCCAGGCCCAGGCGGGCGGCTGCGCCCTCGTTTCCCTCCGGGAGGGACAGGGACACCTGACCTTTAACCCGCGCCGCCGCAGCAGGGGCCGCCCTGACCTTTAACCCGCCGCCGTGGCAGGGGCCACCGTGACCTTTAACCCGCGCCGCGGCGGCAGGGGCCGCCCTGACCTTTAACCCGCGCCGGCGGTTGGGCACGTGCCCTCCGCGCTGACCCTCCGCACTGACCGCCCTCGGCGCTGACGGTTGGGGCGGCGGCTGCACTGGGTGAGGCTCTCCCTCCGCCGGGCGAGGGTTTGGGGGGCGACGGGCGGGGTTTGGGGGGCGGCAGGCGGGGCTTGGGGCGGGGCGGGTGCAGTGGGCGGGGTCTGGGGTGCGATGGGTGGGGTTCGGGGCGGTGGGCGGGGTTTGGGGTGCGATGGGTGGGGTTCGGGGCGGTGGGCGGCGTTTGGGGTGCGATGGGTGGGGTTCGGCGGCGGATCCCCGTGGGGGCAGGGGGTCCCCGGCCGCAGGCGGACAGCGCTGGCCCTGGGGGCCCCCCATTGACGGGCGCCCCCCCAGCACGCGGCCGGACGATGTCGGAGAAGCTGCGCCGCTGCCGCAAGGAGCTGGCGGCCGCCATCGACCGCGCCTTCGAGGGCGTCCGGCTGTCGCAGCAGCGCGCCCGCCCGGAGCCCCCGCCGCCCGGCGCCGCCGACAGGGAGGCCCCGGGCCCCGGCGCCAGGCCCGCCCCGGCCGCCCGCAGGCCGCTGGCCGCCAGGGAGAACCTGCCCGGCCCGCCCTGGGGCCCCGAGCCCGGCCCCGAGCCCGGCCCCGAGCCCGGCGACGGCCGCAGCGACGGCCTCAGGTGACCGCCCCGACCCTGACCCCGACCCTGACCCCGACCCCCGACCCCGACCCCGACCCCCCTGACCCCGTTCCCCGACGGGGCCTGGTCCCTCCTGGTCCCCCGCCCCGGGAGCCCCGGAAAGGGTGTGAGTGTGTGTGTTTGGGGTCAGGGGTCAGGGGTCAGGGGAGGCCACCGGCACAAACCAGAGGAGGAGGGAGTGTTAAAGATCCTGGTTTCCCAAGTCACATTATTTTTTTCCCTTTAAAAAACTTTATTGTTAAAAATGTTATCTCCTTTCCCCCCACTCTCCTAGCCCCACCCACCCCGCAGTCCCCCGAACCCCGCCCCAAAGGGTTTTTATGCTACAGAAAGAGCATCTTATCCCGGCTCCTTTGCCACTGTGGGGCCCGGCCGGCTGGCCTCGCCCTCACCCTGCTCCCTGCCCGCCCCCCGACCCAGAGCTTCCTGACTCCCCGGTGCCTCCCCGGACCTTCTCTCCCGGGAGCCCCCACTGGGTGCTGCCGTCCTGGCGGCCGCGGGGACGGAGCTCACCGCTCTTCAAGGCGTCATCCTGGCTCTCACGGATGCGGCGTCGGTGATGTGTAGTCGGCCGCGCTGACGGAGTCATTTCCGTTGTCCTCTAATCACAGCCTAAGTGGCAATGAACATTACCTAACACCCGTCAATGTTTTATTGAAAGAGGGCCCAGCCGGTGTGGCTCCCTGGTTAGCATCAACCTATGCACCAGGAGGTCATGATTTGATTTCCAGCCTGGGCACAGGCCCGGGTTGTGGGTTTGATCCCAGGTGGGGGCGTGCAGGAGGCAGCCGATCAATGATTCTCATAACTGATGTTTCTCTCCCCGGCCCCCCTAAAATCAAAAAGTATTTTTCTTGAAAGAGGCTCTAATTCCCCACCTTTTCCTTTCCCCTGGCTGCAGGAAAGACATGGAGAAGGAGCTGAAGGCTGACTCAAGTCTGCCCCTCGGCAGTTCTAGCCAAGAGGTCACCAAGGACCTGCTGGACATCATCGGTGAGTACCGCGCGCCACCTCCAGGAGGCGATGGTGGGTCAGGAAAGACCATCTCTCATCCATTGGCCGAGCTCATGGCAGGCTCTGGGCCGAGACCTGGTGGCCTGGCAGCCATTTCAGAAACCACAGCACAACCCTGGGGCAGCGGGCCCAGAACTTGTGGTCAAGCTGAGATCTGCAGGAAACGGAGTGGACGGGTGGGGGGTCCAGCTGTGGTGGGAACACGGTGAAAAGAAATCTTAGCCCGGCTGGTGTGGCTCAGTGGGTTGAGTGTTGGCCCATGAACCAGAAGGTCAATGGTTCCATTCCCATGGAGGGCTCAGGCCTGGGTTGCGGGATTGATCCCCATTCGGGGGCATGCAGGAGGCAGCCGATCAGTGATGTTTCATCATTGATGTTTCTCTCTCTCTCTCTCCCTCTCCCTCTTCCTCTCTCTCTAAAAAGCCAATAAAAACATTAACTTAAAGTAAATCCTGCCGAAACCAGTTTGGCTCAGTGGATAGAGTGTTGGCCTTCGGAGTGAAAAGTCCCAGGTTCGATTCCTGTCAAGGGCATGTGCCTTGGTTGCAGGCACATCCCCAGTAGGGGGTGTGCAGGAGGCAGCTGATCGATGTTTCTCTCTCATTGATGTTTCAAACTCTCTATCCCTCTCTCTTTTTCTCTGTAAAAACTCAAAAACAAAACAAAACCCAACAACAACAAAAAAGTGAATCAAAGCCCACCAGGAGGCATTGCAGCTGCTGTGTCTGGCAGACACGTGTCTGCACATCTGCACTCTGTGGGGAGCCTGGGAGCCCGCCTCAGTGACCCCACGCACAGTAGGACCACGGCTCCTTCTCCAGGGGTGCAGCCCTGGGCTGTTGGCGCTTCAGGGAGGGAGGGAGACCCTAGGGCACTGGTCCTCTGGTGCCTTACGGCGCCATCTCCCCCCTCTCCTCACCTGGAGGTTGTCAGCCTGGGAGGCGCACACATGTGCACCCTCCGGGGGGCTCGACAGTTGGGCACATAGGAGCCGGAAATGGGGTGCTGAGCCGCCCTTAGGGTTGGCCCGGGCTCTGGCACAGCCTGTCCCTGTGCAAACCCCCGGGCGCAGCCCCGAGCGGTCCCTGCCGCCCTCGGAGCCCGCCGAACGGCCCTCCCTCCCCAGACAGCACGAGCATCCGCACCATGGAGGAGCTGGCGGGGAGGCTGGAGTTCGAGAACGAGCTGAGCCGTGTGTGCGGCCCCTGCGGGGACTCGCCCTTCCCGGAGGAGGCCTGGGCGCTGCTCATGGACGAGAGCCCGCGGGAGGCGGCGGAGGCCGACCCCGGCAGCCTGCAGCGCGCCTTCGACGACCACAGCGTGGTCCAGACGGTGCTGGACCTGGAGGAGGACTACAGCCTGATGGGCCCCTTCAAATACCACCTGGAGTGAGGCCGCCCCCCTCACCCCCGGAACCCCCACTTTCCTGGCTCCCTGGAGCGGAGCCAGTGCTGTTTGGTTTGCGTGTTTTGTTGTTTCCCTGTTGCTTTGAAGTGTTTCTGACTGTTCTGTTTCTCTGGTTGATGCCAATACACCGTGCTCAGCCCGGTGGCTGTGCCTCTGCCGTGTCTCCTGGTGTTCTTTCCCAGGAGCCCCTGTGGCCACAGCCAGGGGCTCGGTGGACCCTGGCCCAGGCCCTCCACTCCCCACTTCCTCTCCCTGCCCACCAGGCCCTCCCTCCAGACCAGCCTTCCCTCGCCCCACCACGCCCCGCTCAGGCCCCGGCCGCTCAGAGGTCATCAGAGGGACTGGGAGCACCCTGTCCCTCCTGGCAGGGCTTTCTCACCGGTCCCCGCGGGGCGGGGGGGGGAGGGTGCATATAGGTACCTCCCACCCACCTTCATGCCTGACCTTGTCCAGGCCTGGGACCCGGAGGCCACGGTGGGCAGGGAGGGAGGGAGGCAGCGCAGCCCAGAGCTTAGCGGGTGGCTCCAGCGCCCCGGAGAGCCGGCCTCTTCAACCATGACAGGAGCTCTGGGGAGCAGGCACTGAGCCCCAGCAGCTGGCAGCAAGTGCCTCCTGGGCTCCGGGGGCGGATTGGGGAGGAGGAGGCCAGGGGCTCCTGACCTCACCCTGCTTAGGGCTGGCGACTCCTCAGGGCTCGGGGCTCACAGGTGGAGACGGGATTGGACCAGGGTGGCACTTGACTGCACCCCGAGACCAGCCCTGGGCTCCCCTGGGCACCGGCCTCTGCCCTGCAGCGAGCTCCCACCTGTGGGGTGGGGGTCTGGCCGCAGGGCATCCCGAGGGGGCGTGCTGGGTGGGCCCCGCACAGAGGAGGGGCCCAAGGGCGCTGGGCCTGGAGACGGGACAGCCGGCCAAGGAGGAGCGGCTGCAGGAGACGGCGCTGCCGGGGCCCTGATGGGTCCCTCGGTGACGGGAAGGCGCTGTGCCTGGGGCGCCCTGACCAGAAGCTCACCTCCCAGGGGGGAGGCTGTGCGGGCCCTGCCCCTGCCAGGACTCGCTGTCTCGCCGGTCGTGGGCGGCCCTGGAGCGGGGGGAGGGGCGGGGGGGGGGGGGGGGGGGGGTGCAGGCCCAGCGGGAGGCCCGGTCACACCCTCGGGGCTCCGTGGTCACGTGTGTGCCGTGAGGGAAGCTCCCGCCGGGGCGGGGCGGGGCGGGGCGGGGCGGGGCGACAAACCGTGTACAGCTTCCCCCACACCTACCTCGATGCTCTGACATTACAGTTTTAGTGCAGTTATCCCAAGTTTGTGAGACTGAGCACGTGTGCAGAGAATTGTCACGGGGGACAGGGAGGGGACATGGTGGGCACGGATAGGACACGGAAGGGACATGGTGGGCACGGATAGGACACGGAGGGGTCACGGGAGGGTTTAGTTCCTTCTCTCCCCGTGTTTCTGATCTACGTGCCTGGGCGTGTGCCGCTCCCGCAGAGGGAATTCGTGTGTGGGAGCCTCTCTGCAGCCGGCGTGGGCTCCCACCAGGCCGAGTGCCTCCCTGCGGGCGGTCACAGGGCGGCTGCGGGGACCAGGAGGGCTCTGCTGGCTGCTGGCGGGGCGGTTGCCCGGGGAACGGGAGTGCGGGGCAGGTCGGGGTGGGCACACGGGCTCCTCTGCTGGTTTGGTTTCCTTTGTTGGGAAGCCGGCGTAGTCATGGCCGCCTGGGAACTCGCCGTTCCTCCCCCCGCCTCCGGCCCCACTGCAGCCGGAGAGCTGGCCTCACGCGCCCGCGGGGGTGGTTTTGTTTTTAAAGGCGTGTCTGCTGAGGAGGAGGGGAGAGGGAGAGACATCAGTGATGAGAATCACGGATGGGCTGCCTCCTGCACGCCTCCCACTGGGGCTGGAGTCCGCAACCCGGGCCTGGGCCCTGGCCTGACGGGATTGAACCCCGACCTCCTGGTTCATAGGTGGACGCTGAGCCGCTCCGGCTGCAGCACCTCGGCTTGTTTGTGTGGGAATTCCCGTCTCACAGACAGCTGTTCCGGGCGGGAGCCGCCCCTCATCCTGGCCCCGGCCCGGGCACCGGCTTCCTGCTGGGCCCCGGCTCCCCTGCAGGGGTCTGGGGCCCCCGGAGGGACACGGGCTGGAGCCTCCCCAGGCGCAGGGTTGGGCTCCTCCCCTCCTCCCCCGTCCCCGGGCGAGCCGGACGGCCACAGGCCGTTTCTGTGGAAACACCGGACTGTGGCTTGGATCGGCAGAACCAAAATAGAAACACCCGCTCAGAGCATAAATAAGAGCTTTGGAGCCTGCAGGCCACACACTTGGACTCGGGCTCGGTCCCCTGGCCGCCTCCCCACGGCAATGCCGAGGCAGGAGCTGGGGCTGAGGGGGCAGCTGAGGAGGAAGGGAGAGAGAAAGGAGAGAGCCCGCCCGGGGCTGACCTCTGACCCAGGAGGTCACAGTTCGATTCCCAGTCAGGGCACAGGCCCGGGTTGTGGACTTGAAGTGTGAGATGTGTGCAGGAGGCAGCCGATCAAGATTCTCATCATTGATGTCTCTACCTCCCTCTCCCTCTCTGAAATCAATAAAAATACATTAATTTTTTAAAAAGGTGAGAGAGGAGTGAGTGGCCAAGTGGAGGCCCGAGAGCGGAGCCTGGAGTCTCCGAGGCCAGCTCCAGGCTGGCCGTGGGCTGGACGCGGGGACCCGTCTCCTCGCTCCTCATCCGGCCCCTGGGCTGGGCCGGGGTCTGAGCTCTCCCCAGGCGGCCTCGGCGCCGCTTCTGCTCTGGGCTCTGCCTGTGTGGCCCCTTCTCACCTCGGCCCAGAGTTCCTCCTCCTCCTGCCCCCTCACCTCCTGGCCACCGGCTCTGCTGCCCGGCCTCCTGGGCCCTCTACCTCAGCCCCAGGCCACGTCCACAGGGGTCAGGAGACCGGGAGGAGGACAGGCCGCCTGGGCGACGCGCCCCCCCCCCCCCCCCCCCCGCCCCCAGGAGTCAGTGAGCGTAACTAGCCCAGGCTGGTTAGGCGTCACCCCCTGCGCGCCTGCAGACACACCCAGTGCCGGAGCGCTGAGTCACTGACCTCTGGCTGCTGGACACACGGACCCCGGAGGACAGATGTCCCAGCTCAGTAAGCGCCGCGGGGCCGGCTCTGGCATTAAGAGTGGGACAGACCCTTCCGTGAGGCCACAGCCATAAACGCTGAGGGAGCTCTCTCCACAGGCCTCGGCTTTGAATTAAAAGGATTGAACTTTCGCCCTGGCCAGTGTGGCTCAGTGGATAGAGCGTCAGCCTGCTGACTGAAGGGTCCTGGGTTTGATTCCAGTCAGGGCACATGCTCCAGCTGTGGGCTTGGTCCCCGGTGTGGGGCATGCAGGAGGCAGCCGATCCATGATTCTCATCATCGATGTTTCTACCTCTCTCCCTTTCCCTTCTCTGAAATCAAAATATATATTTAAAAATAAGATGATTAAACTTTCTGAAGTATGGTAGCAACCATACTCGGGTAAAAACTGCCGTTTGAATTTTAACCCTGCTATCTGGCTTCGGCATTCGCTACTTGCTTAAACATAGGGTAGTTACCTCAGCTTCCAGGTGGAGACCTGGAGGCTAAGGCAATTTTCCTGTGCCTGGGACCAGACCTACAGGAGATTGATTCCCACTGACTCAGTAGCTTCAGGGGTAGAAACTAGATAACCTTTAGAGATTAACCGCTGAGCTCTGCTTCTGTGTTATCAAGTTAGGGCCACATTCCAATGTTCCCAGCCTTTAGAATTTAGAATTTAGAACAAGGAAAATTCCTGTGGTTTGGACCTTTAAAAAGACTGCCTACACCTGGAACAGTGTGGACTCACCTACGTGTGGTGCCCTCGTGGCCGTCCTGGCCAGTTTTTTTTAATAAATTCTTGCCTGCTTTTTTAATCAATCATCAGCCTCCAGTGTTTTTTAAAAAATATATTTTATTGATGTTTTACAGAGAGATAGGTCACTGGGGAGAGCAGTTCTGGAGCTCGGCGGGAGGAGAGCCAGAAACATCGATGAGAGAGAAATATCAACCAGCTGCCTCCTTCACACCCCCCACTGGGGATGTACCCGCAGCCAGTGTACATGCCCTTGACCAGAATCGAACCTGGGACCTTTCAGCCTGCAGACCAGTGCTGTATCCACTGAGCCAAACCGGTTTCGACATCCAGTGGTCTTATTTTGAACCCAGGGTTCGACCCCACAACACTTTCAATGTAGAGTAATAAATGGCTTCCAGAGGTGTGCCCTGGCCCTCCCCCAGGAGACCAGCCCAGCAGGACTGGGGATGTAGAGACCAGGGAGGGTGGCGGCCATATTGAGGAGGAGTTTGACATTAGGAGCAGCCCCCCTCCCCCGGTGCTCAGCGGGAGGAACATCAGTGGTTACTGACCCAGGAGAGTGACACTCCATTCGCCTCCCTGGGGCCAGGCGGACCGGCTGCTCGTACACCCAGCAGTGAGGACCGCGGCCCCGCCCTGCCCGACGGTGCCCTGGGCCTTAACCTGTGGGGCTCTCTATTCAGGTTCTGGTCATAAAGCGATCAGAAAAGCAGCTGACACTGCTCTGTCTTCTCTGCTCCCCACCGCTCTGCCAGGTTTCCCTCCTCCGCATCCACTCCACCCACAAGCCTGTGGGAGAAAAACGCAGGTGCGAGCCTCCCACCGACCCTGGGCACCTGGAGCCGGGTGGGGAGAGTGAGGCCCGTCCGGCTGAGCCTTCCTCCGGCCCCCAGTGCCCCAGAGCTAGCAGGCAGCTGCCAGGGAGGCGGCCAGGTGGCCCCGTCTGCACTCCCCGCGGGGCCGCAGAGCAGGTGAGAGCGCTGCCATGGCCCGGCCGCAGCCGGAGGCCTGGGCTGGCGAGGGAGCAGCTGGCTGGCCCTGGTCCCGCCACCGGCCATGCAGGCGCCTTAAGCTCTCCCACCTGGCTGCTCACACACCCTGAAGACAGGAGAAGGTACAAACGCGGCTCCCAGGGTGGCGCTCGGAGGCCCCTGTCACTATTGCCTTGGCTTGGGATTGACAGGCTCTGGGACCGTCTGTATGGTCAGTGGGAACATGGCCCCCCACCTCCCCGTGGGAATTGAGGGAAGGGCACGTGTCAGCGCCTGAGCTCTCGGGAGCCTGGCCCCGAGCAAGGCCCAGGGAAGCCGGATGGTAAC